TTCACACGTGTGTCTATCTATAAAATCGAAATCGCTCTCGGCTCAGTTTCTATCAGCTTCTGCCAATAAAGGCAAAAGAAGAATTTTCAATGAAGCACACACGCAACAACGGTGCGGGAGAAAACAGGAACAACACAGGGCTGTCGAGCTGTCGTGATGGGTGGTCTATGAATTGAAAGCCATTCTTCACCGAAATTGAGTCAGCGACGTGTACGTACACGATCGTCTTCGCCATCATCGTGAGGCGATAGGCCGTTAATGGCTCACTTCAGCACAAAATGCTTTTCATCAATAGATTACTCTAGTAGTAAAGTGGAGAGTTAAAATCAATGTTAACATTACGCCGCTTGATACTTCATTTTGCATCCTTATCTCCACACACACAGGTATACATATGTATATATATATAAAACAGGAGCAATCTCAGTATGTTTCATGGGAGATGGTACCCTTAGATACAAGAAAATTATCGAAGTTTATTGGTGAATAGAAGGAAGCTGCTGATTCTTCAAACAATCTTCCATTCAATTTTAGATTCCGTTTAAGAGTAGAGGTAATGTTTACAATGCTGTTGAGCCATACTACATAACTAAAAAGTTGTGTTTCTTGATAAACAGGTGTCAATAGATAGATTTTGTTAGCTTTCAGTACCCAATATACTTCGTATATACAATAGAAATAGTATTTTGAATGCATCTGCAAGACTCCTTCTACTATATTTGTCTAAACTATATAACGCATCAGTGTAGCAATAGAGCCTAACATCTGCAGTGTACCGCCGTGTTGTATATTTATAGTGTACTTCAACGTAATCGTTATTTCAGTCAGTCGGATTAGCAGTGCCTTAACCAGTCTATGTGATTCAGTCTACGGTATGTCAAATGGCTGCAATCTTATTAGTCATTAAGGAAGACCAAAAATACTGTGATACTGATTCGTAGTTAGCTTCAACAGAAATATACTATACATTTATTATACCGTAACATAGCCATTTGATAATAGAATGCTACCTAGCGCTTTGTCACTTTTTGAGTTAGTAATAGAATTAACATATTATATTGGCTTAAAGTATCGAACCATGGACTTAGCCGACTCTTACGGTGTAACAAACTACTACGCAAATTCATTTTCGGTCGAGCTCTTCCCAGGCAGGTTTATACTTATGTGTACTTTTTTGCGCTGCGGGGCCTCGGCTTATGCCATTGAAGCAATGATAACCTGTCTGTGACTTTAAAATGTTATTTTTCAGCATTCAATACGACTAAGCTGATAGACGGATATCAATACGAACCTCTTAGCCAGGCCGCCGGCGGCAAGTTTCATAGTCCTCCGTCGTCACAATGCCCCCTATGCGTTACTCTTGGTCACCTTCTACACCCTTCCGGGCTGACTAATGCTGAACGACGTCTGCCTGTGCCAAGAGTGGCAAGGTATATTTGTGAAACCGCTTCGTTTCCATGTTCTCTCATTGTCTTCTTCCTTCTCTTTAAAGATTTTCTCTTCTTGTGCTGCTTACACACTAATATTTTGCTAAATTGCAAGGAAAACCACATTCTGACACAGTATACAGGATATTTTTCCGGACCATGAGCGTCTAGTGGTTTTGAATATCGTAAGCCCGAAGCCTCTTCCACAAGAACGTCGAAAAAGGAACATGGGCATGTATGCAGAGTAGGTAAACGTCAGGCGTTGACAGAACGTCTTGCGCCCTCGTTCACTAGCAGGAGATTAAAAGATAAATTGGGATCTTTTTCACGAAGGTTTTCAGAGAACAATAGCTAAGAGTTCGGTTAGGTTAAGGGACGGAGGCAACATTCTCGCGATAAGAAAGAGAGTCTAGTAAGGTCTTTGTTTCTGCGTGCTGCTTCTCATCAATGCAAACTGTTTATGTGAGCGATGACTGCTATTGGAATAAAAGGCGGAGAACGGCCATGAGAGCCCTCGACATTGTTTAGGTTAGGCGAAGGTGCCGAGGATTACCACAATGACAAAGAGCCAACGGGAACGGCGTGACGAGACTGCTTCGACGGGCAAAAGCAGCAGTGGGAGGGCGCTAGCAAACGCGATAGCAGTGGGTTCGTAGCTCAACACAACGAGACGGCAGGAGTTCGTTACCTAAAGTCGCTTTGAGCGAACGAACGAGTTTAGTTGAAGAAACAGCCCATTGACAACAGTAAAGGTGTAGTCGGTCTTGGTTCCAAGTAGAAGGAGACGGCTTCAGCGCGTGATTCGACGGGTCGGTGAACCCAATCCTCAGAAAATCTCCGGCCGCGAACGCAGGGAAAGGCAGAGAAAGACAGTTACTTTGAGCTTAGCATTGATCATTCAAATTTTGTTTTCACCATTCACAACAAGCGATGTGCTACGCTTTTCTCAGTTGGTTCTATGATATTATCTGGTGCTGACGGATGGATAAAATCCAACGGACACTTTTGTGGCATCAAAAGCATTAGAAAAGACCGTGTAGCTTCATTATTATTTTGACTTCGCAAAAGAAAGAGAGGACGAGTGTTACGAGCTGGGGAGGGCTTTGATAGGGTGTGCTGTGGTCATTTGGCACTGATGTCACAATGCTATTCGAAGCTATGGGCCCGTAAGTGACTTGATATGAGCCTGATCGAAAGAACAACAAAAAGGATTCGACGAAGACGTCAGGTCATTCACGCGTCTACAGCACCGTACAAGTTACGAGTCGTATTACAATACGGTACTCGCCCTATAATCGCACCAAACGAGAGGAGATGTGATCTCAAATACAGCGGAGTACATTTAGAAATAGTCACACCTTGCTTCAGCTGGTGAAGCAACAATCCAACACTTGTCCCTCATAGGATGTCATGAGTAAGTTAAAATTAAGCCAACGCTCTCTTAGAGAATTACCACCAATCATGCGTATGTTTTTGCTATATGGTCTAGACTCTTAACAATAAACTAGCACATGTAAAGCAAATGGCCACATTTCCATTACCTTGTATTACTTCGATAACACACATGTAGCACATAACGTGTTCATATCGACGATCTGTCGGTACCAGTACAAGCTAGTAAGTAGCGGACTGGCAGTTCGTTATTGAGTCATTTAATAAATACGCAACCTAGTAGGACACCCGTATATTGCTGTCCTCTTCAAAAAGACTCAGGGCTAGTAAGTAATGGCCATTCCTCAGGGAACGTCATCAGAGAGCAAGTAACACAACCCACAACTCGACAACCAGTAATGTCCACTGTTGCCTGAGTAACCCGTAACATTTATCTAGCTTTGCGACTTTTAGCAAGTAAGAACAACATAATCGAGAAAATGCTGCTTCCTCAACTTAGCGGAGACGGTACGACACAAGCTATAAAATAACGTAACTGCATTTTGAGCTGTCTGTCACTTTCATCGTGTCTCGTGATGTTTTGCGCCTCAAATCGAATGAAGTTCCCGATCTGCCAAGCCTTCAAACCTTCGATATAAGCCTAGTCCATAAAAAATCTGTATGGAATTGACAGTCTAAAATGTTTCAACCTCAGATAAGGCAAAAATGACACAGGTAAGAACTCGTCTTGAATGTAACAATGACGAAAGACAAATACACCGCTTTACTTTCAGCGTTCCCACTTCGCCGTACGATGCTGCTCGACTCTGTTCTGAATCCCTGCTGGTTTTCAACATTTACGACGTTTACTCGATGTGCTGCTTTACCATCGCTAGCGGGTCCGTTTGTCGCCGTCAGGCCCTTCAATCAAAGCGAATTATCCTAAAACAGAGCTGAGACTCGTGTTAGCAATTACAAATGAACTAGTTTTTTTGTCATCGCTCAATCCATCGATGACAATCGCTAGTCTCCCAGACTACAGCCTAAACTTGCTTCCTCTCAGCCATCTCCGCCCAGGTCAACATCGATGGTCTTCTTTGTTGTGTCTGATTCGAACAATTCATCTTAACAGTCCTAATCTAATTTTCGTTTGTAATTCTCGGGTCTTTTCTGCCACGTCGTCTGGCACGTGGCGCGATAATTTAAATCACGGAGTCGTCATTAGCTATTCACAATCGCTAGAGGTACCCACCGCTCGAAAAAAACGTCTGCCGGCTTTACACAGCAGCTGAGCACCACCACTGCGGCCTAAAAGGCAATACTGCTATCGGCGACAGGAGGCGTACATATCGACTGCCTAATGCAGGACAGCGGGGCAGAACTATTATCAACAACATCTCTACGATAGCATGAGGAAATCTGCGGCGGGCAAGATCGCTGCTGCGCGCGAAGGATTGCATTTAACCTACCTGTTCTAAATACCTCTCATCATACGTATCGTTGGCTATAGCTTAAAAAAAGCTAGAGGAAAATGTGTAGGCAGGTATGATCTTCATTTTGGCTTGTTGGCACTGAGCGTGCCGCTCTGATGCTGCTGCTGCCACCGCCAATTAAGCAACGAGTCTATGAAGCAGTCGCAGGAGCGAAGTGCGCCAGTCAAGAAATACGCTCCGCGACGGATGATCGCATGATGGACGAGCGTGGCTTCCACTAATAGTTGGATCCGATTGGATTCTAGTGGCTGTAAGGTCGATTCGATTTCTTGCTTTCCTTCTTCTATTTTTCGTTTTTCTTATGCTGGGTGTTTTTTTTTGCGGCTACGGCTGCTACTATTGCTGTTTTGTTATTCTACGTAGTGGCTGTGTTATTCGATGGATCTAACCACAAGGACAGATGGGATAGATGAAAAACACTGGAGCTGGCTGTCGGCTGCTGTTTGACTGCTCTGTATCAATTCAACCGCCGCATCGGATGTCATCCGACGTCCTATACCACCGCAGAAGCAGTTATATTACGTCAGGTCAGAGATCTTGTGGATATTCGACTTGCTGTAGCCGGCATCGCTGCCGCTGCTCAGGATATTGGCAGTACCGGATACCGAATAGCGAATGGCTATGATGACGAGAATGAGCGACTATTGACGGTGTATGAGCGGATTGACTGAAGCGAGAGGCGTCTCGTCTGGCGCGTGTATTCGTAGATATGAAACGAATTTACTTACCAAAGACTCCTAACGCATATCTTCGAATATATAGGTGTAGTGATGGGCGTGTATATCTGTAAGCGTACGTATTTTCTACGTTAAATTTCAAATCTGACTTATTTGTGTGGGTCAGAATTAAAATGTTAAAAGTTCTTCTTTTGTAATTTGACAACTGGAAATAGACCACTGGAATAATGTGCTTGTGGCACAAAGAATAGCAGAACGCATTGCGTATACATCGGTGTGGCCTAGAGATTGCCAACATCGCTAAATGGTGACCGATGCACAGAACTACCATTTCTATTATTGGATATTGATGCAAACATTCAACTATTCCATAAAGGTCTTTTATTTTTGTGCTATCTTGAAAGGTTGTGCTTGTAATAGAAAAGGCACGCGTCGAAGGTATTCTGCATTAACAACAAGAACACGTGACCATTATAACGATACATAGGCAAATAGGTAAGAAGCAAATGGCCAGGTAATAGGCTCGTAGCTACCTGTTATGCCGGAAACGTTGATGCCGAAACTTGTAAGAGCGCTTAACGAGGCTGGCAGCAAACTCGAGAAGAGGGCATACCATTGCTGGCCATCAGGATTAGTACACGAAACGACGAGAATTGAGCCTGTGTGCATCCAACAGGAAGGCTTTAACCATTATTATTCATAGCAGCGAGTCTGATCAGTTGCTAACTGTAGGCCGTTACCTGCAGAGGAGGCCATCATCTTTATTAGGCTGAAAATACGGTTCGCACGGTTTTTCTTTGAAGGCCTGATTATACTGCAAGATAGCATTGATGATCTAATGTTATTGGAAATTTCGAACGACTCATCTATGATTGCTGCCTTTTTTTTTGAGATCGACACACGTAAACGGTTTCATGCTTCTAATTAAACCAAAAAAACGCATTCTGTATCAGTTTAGTTTGTAGTTCGTAGTTGAAATCAAGTTTATTACGTGGACAAAGTATGATTTCAAACCCGGAAAATACTGGGATGCTTAATGTAAACCGAACCAGTCTTTTACTAACACACTGGAAAAGTGAACGGACCTTTATATCATTGTTCGATGTGTTTTCATTACACTTGGCAAGTTTAAAGCAAAAACCCTGAAAAAGAAAAAGTCAGAAAATTTTCTGCAAATTTACCTTTCAGCTTCTAATCAAAGTTCATTTTTTTAACCGTTATTTCTATTTCCTTACGCTAGATGGAAAGCTTCGTTAGGACAGAGATGCTTAATATTAGAGATGCTAAATACAGTGACGAACTTATAGCTTCTTCTCGAATAAACAAAAGCAATTCCCCAAGCAACTCCTAGTTGCCTTCTCTTATTTTTCCTCTCAATTGTTATTTATCTCTCAACTCACCTTGGAGCTTGTTAGAATTAAGTAAGGGTTGGAACGAAAATTAGACATACTGATAACCCAAACATTTTAATAATGTCTAAATAATAAACTATACGTTTTAGCGCATTGTACATTGTATGTGCACGTAACAGAATGTTGAGCTTCATTTGTTCGCAGATTTGTGAATCTGAGTATATCTTAGGCCGATTCAAATTGTTGTAAGGGAAAAAATTATGTTCTGGCAGACAAGAAACGGCAAGTTAAAATACTAACGTTTACTTGAAACATTTAAGTTTACGTTATTGGACCAAGTGCTGGAATTGGATTCGTAATATTACAAAACGTCAGGAAGTTGCGGCATTCTTGATGCTGATAAAAGTTGGTAGCTTGGTACATCGCCTTCGAACCTGAAAGACTTGATTTTGGAAACTTATGCGGCGACTGAGACAAAACGATTGGCAGTTTTTGTCATCTTTGACATCGTCCATCTAGATCGACCTAGTTGCAATCATAGTTGACGAACGGAATCGTTGCGCTCACTCGTAACGCACCTGCAAATGTTTCCTTTAAAGGGCAGTGCACACGCCCGTACAGGTTGGGACTTGAAATTATCGATCCCCTTACTTTTCCTCTCTGACGTATGGTAATTGTTGCCGCCGGAGCTTCACATAATCCACACAACCGGAGATACGATTACTTACTATCGATGCTAAAAAGTTTACCAACGAATTCTACAATTCCTAGTTCACGTAGCTAGCATCGCAATCGGCAGCGTAATTTAGGTCTGCCGAACTTTTCGAATGATTCACTTTAGTCACTACAGTTTTACATCACAAGCAATAATAAAGTTCGCTGCGGCAGTGTTTTCAGGTATCAATGGAATCGAGTGTCAATGCTGTTGCCCGTAGAGTAAAGCACGCGATTCCTTAAGGAGGCATTTGACCATGTGGAAGCAACACGTCGTACACATCAGCTTAGCCAGCCCAGCCTTCTGCTTCGTTATCCAGTCCGGCTCAAATGTTTATAAATTCACATTGAGACGTTGTCTTTGCGCGTGAGGCTAAACTATTATATAGTTTCTGCGTTTGCTACAGCTTGGCCTGTGGTGACAACTCGAGCAACAGTACTTAGTTCGGATCATTCCCACAGATGGCGCTACATGTGTAAAGTAAAACTTGCTTTTGATCTGCAAGGATATGAATTTTATTATGTTTCTGCTAACTATGGGCAAAGTGTTTATCATCTTGATTAGTAACATATTCTAACACTAACTGTGCTGTCGGCTATTGGCTGACCTTGCTGCTTTTAATCTATATAAATATTTGCGCTGCTCCATTGCTGTGAGTTGTCATTTATTTATAACCATAACTTTTGAAATTTAGGTTGTCGACTGTATACCCAACGTTATATGCAACGCAATATCAAATTTTCTTATTTAGCTTCTAGTAATCTTCTTATATTTGCCTTAGAGTAGTTGCGTGTTATACGGTATCTTGTTCGGTGCTCTACCAGTTTTTCTACGAGCAAGTACATATACTGATATAAACAGGTAAATAGGAAAGCAATGGAAAACGGCTGGTTATTGAAACGTTTACTCCTGTTCGTCGACAAGTTGGACCTCGGGCCGATTGACGCTTTGAGGGGACTACTACTCTCAACACTGACAGGATAGAGACACATTCATGTTGACCGATCGGGTTCATGTCACAGGGGAAGCACTTAGACTTGTCCAATAAGTATACGATCCAAGATGCAATTTTATTGATGTATATGTTCGGATTATACCTTTGCTACGGCAACGTCTAGCTTCATTCTTGTTTTGTCAGTGTTGTTGTTGTTGCTGTTCATATCATTGCGGCTGTGATTATTGTCAGGCAGTTCACGTAGTTGTTTCGAAACAATCCAACTGTCGGCAGATTACTTGAAGCTGACAGTGGGCACACCTCCAACGATCGAGAAGGACTGTAGTATATAGGACGAGAGACGTAGAACAGATGAGGTTACTCGTCCGGCTACGACCTCAGGACCTCCAACGTAGTGAGGCGGTGACATCGACACCGGCGGTGAATAGTCTCGTACCTCAAAATCATCAGAATGCCGAAAGGGTTCATCAGAGAGGTGGCAGTAACGGCCATCGTGGGCGGCTCAAAGGCTTTCCGACGGAAGACGGAATCACCAATTCATTGCCGTGATGAGAGGCAATTTCGGTAGCAATACTAGCAGTAGCAGCAACAGTCGTAGTTGTCATAGTAATAGCAGATAGGACCACACCAGGCGGCCGACCAACAGTAGAAATAAAGAAGCTGTCAAAGTTAATGTCAGCTGAAAGATGTCTATACGGTAGCCTGTCTGCAACTACATCTGTACTGTTAGTTAACGAACGCAAAGAGTTACAACAAGACAACATGGAAGATGATAAGCAGATCAAGTTTTTTCAGTTCTTGGTATAGTGCTTTTAGCAGACTCTTTTAGATAACGATTTTTATAATAACAAATATAGGACATTTATCTATTAACAAAATATTGACTTTGTTCTCCCCTATCTGGCAACATTGCCGCTGTTTGTGGTCAGCTACGTTTCGAAAAAATCCTTTTCAACCTTTTAGTTCGTTGTCTGCAAGCTAGCTTTAAAAGGTTTTGCATGCTCTTGTCTCATTTTCTTCTTGGAACGACAGTACTATAAATAGTCATAGTCGAATAGATACGTAGGAGTCGAAATATGTTGTTTCCATTTTAATCAGGTTATGTAATCCAGATTGCAGGTAGTTGGTTTCCCAGAAACTGTTGTGGTTTAAAGGACACTACGCAAACACTAAATAGACTTCCCCATCGTACTGATAAACCGGCTCAATGTGTGTCCTCAATCTAATTCGCTATGTTTCAATGTCCCTTGCCGCGCACGCCCGCCCGGTTCGATTTTCCGCCTGTTCCGTTCGGTAGGCCAAGTGTTCGGCTCTGTTTTTTGCTTTGTGCATTAAGTCTAGTTTCTTTCAGTCGCAGGTTCTTCTGATACCATGGAAAATAAACCTCTTATCGGCGGCGCTGGTCATTGTAGTGGCTGGATGACGGCAAGGATGGCAGCGTCGTCGAATCTGGCCATAGGACAATGAAGGAAAACGAAATTCCCTATTGTCGCCAGGTCTCGTCTTGCGTACCCATATCGCATCCGGAATCAATAGCAGTAACGGCGAATCGCAGGGAAACTTGAGTGCATATGTGTGATCACGGCACGTAAACAAAAAAAGGAGACAAATGTCCCCTTCATATCGACACGACACGAGCAGAAGCATAGAATCATCGACACCAGCGACTATACTTGGACCAATGGTCTGTCGCCGCATGCTTTTCTTGTCCCCGATTCACTAGCGTGTACCAAGCTTCCGCACACTCTGCAGGTCGAAGCTGCAATTGAAACTGTGGACGGAAATGGCTGCATATATAGAAGGTCATCATTCGGAGTTCGAAGACTATCGACCACTCTTGCAAAAGAACCCTGATCAGAGAAATAGCAAGGTTGACAATTTTCGTAGGAATAGATCGGTGTGCATAGGAGGGATGTCATTGACTCCGCGTTTTCTTTCTGTATCGACTGATGCGCTACCCCTACATGAAAGGAATGGCAATACCTTGCTGTCGTCCATAACCACCCTCTTTTGGCGTTCTGCGTAACGATAGTAGACGAATTTAACGGGTTAGTAGTTACAAAAGACGCGTGAATTCTTAAAACGAACCAAAGCCCCTTTTCAAACGGTTAATTTTAACCTAGTGACGCCTCGGCTACCGGCCTTTTTGATCAGCCTGTTTCGCTCATCGGACAAGCACCGAATCTCATCAGACCCCACACGTCACAAGCACACGGGTATGAAACCTGTCAGACGTGGCGTAGTACGGTAGCCGGCCAAGCAATAAATCAGATATTCGCACGTTTCCGTATATCGAAGCATGGTAATGTTTTTATTAGAATGGGTCGCCTCAAAAAAGTTCATCTGCTGGCTTCATGAAGATCGAGAGCTGAATGGAAAATACATGCTTCTACAATGCGCAGTGAATGCGCTACTTAAATGCTGTTATACGTTACATAGTCGGTACAAATAATATATGGAGAACTATAAAACAGAAAATCTACATATATGAGGCTAATGCGACTGGCCAGCCGTAACAGAAATAGCTATACATAATTTAACGAGAAAAGCAATACATCAATGTAGACAAGGTTTGTGTAAGCAGAATAGGCAAAAAATCGAAAATTTCTTACTAAATAATAAAAGTATGCTTCCTGGCATCGTCCAGCCATCATTCTAGTAAGATTAGAAAAAAAAAAACTACACTTAAAAAATGGACAAGAAAAGTCACGGCGCGGTACGGGACGCTGCATTGATCATGTAAAGATTACTGCTTTACTATGCAGCGCATGGAAAAATTAGTCGTAGGCTTACTGATTGATGGTTTTGAGATGCTCTGCATACCAGGCAGATCGAAAGCACAACCTCTCAATACTATCGGTCTATTCCTACACTGTTTTCTTTGTATACTTATTACAAAACAAAGCCGACAATTTTCTCCTCGTCATGTACACGATACTCGTTATCATCTGCTTGACTTGTAGAATGGATTACGTTCCAAATACAGTATTCTGCACATCATGTACTTGTACTCCTTGGAGGTTGCCGTGTGTCATTGCCAAGCAACATGGCTTGAGTGACGCTCCTTCTGGGAACTCAGTGTTTTGCTCTCTTTCGTTTTTCTGCTATTTTTCTCTATTTTCGTGTGCTACCCGCATAGGTTTCATTCGTCAGACCTTCGTAGATGCACGATGTGACTTGTTTTTTCACTAAATAGCGTCAAGCGCTGTTATTCCAGTTGCTGTTGTTCCAGGGCCACTAAAGGCCTGTATGACTATATCTTCGCTATTTACGTTTCAGTCAACAGGCGATCATCATGAACGTGTCCCGTAATGTCTACTGCTCGCACGACCACTTCGCCCGACGTAGTCACTGTTAAAGATCGCCTCGCTTCTCTTTACCCTGTTGTCGTCAACGTCGCTGCTGCCACCACCGCCGTCATCGTGTACGCTTCGATGGCACCCGTAGCCTAGCTCCGTTACCTCAATAAGCAAGTCAGGCCGAAACATACGTAAGTCTGTATCTATCGTAAAAACAGTGACAACCCCGGTAGCGCTGACTATTGTACCCTGGGTTTTTGAACGGAAGCAGTCTTCTGTTCAAGCTAAATAGTGGACGGTAGCGTGAACAAATTAGATTGGGGTGGAAGCTTGCTGTTATTTGTACAGAAGCAGTGTCACTTTTTTGCAATGTCATTGTGTAAGGACGCTTGGTTCTTCCTGATAGGGGTGCACTTCGGAACCATTATTACCGGCATTTTTGTTGGGTCGCGTGACAATTCGACAACGGGCAGAGCTAGAAAAACAGGGCTGAAGCCCTGTTTTTCTATCAATAACATGTTATAATCCGTGAACATGCAGACTGCTTTTAGTGCTCTGCTGGTGTCGATTAGTAACAAACTTATGAATAACCCTAAAAAAAAAACTTGGGGATACAAACAGCCGCGCTTTTCTAGTTTATCTTGTTTTACGTATCGTTTATTTGGCAATGATCGAATCTGATTCTGCC